ACCGCATCCCGAACATGCTTTCAGTGTTGCTTAGGGTAGTCAGAAGACTTAGCATTTTGTGAGAGTCTTGAAGTAGAACTATGTCATCGGCATATTCTAAGTCACTAAGGGAGCCTCCTGGTAAAAAGTCTACTCCTGAAAAGTCGGACGAGGATAATGTTACATCTAGCAACATGTCTATGACAAAGTTAAACAAGAATGGAGACTAATCTTCGTAACTCTAATTGAAAATAATTTATAAGTTAGTAATGTTAAAATCAATCACATATTCATCCTTACATTGTTTGTGATATTCCCTTTTTTTTCATTTTCTATTTTCAAAAAAAATTCAGCATCACCGGATCCAAGAATTATTCTTAAACCATTGTATGATAATCCAGATTCTACATTCCCGACAAGATTAATTTGTATGGATTTGAATCCTGAATATGATTCATCGGTTAATCTTAGTTCATCATCAATGAGTCAAGAAATGATATCTGTAAGTTCCTTAATTTTTGCTTTAGATAACTGATATGTATATTCCATAGTCTAGTCTCATGAAACTTTGATGATAGTACGGTCTTACGGCTCAGCATTTGCTAGCGTGTTAAGATTCTTGCATAATGGTCTCCCTGTCTTTGAGTAGATCTTATAAGTCTTGGAGTTTATTGCTGAGCGCTATCTTGAAATCGTCGAGTTTGCCAGTATTCTGAATAAAGGTCCTATCAAACTTCTGTAGTGCCATTTTTCGAGTTTTCCAGCTCTCCTTTAGATTCAGTTTCATTTCAAGTAGTGTTTTGAAGCCATGTCAACCCCACTCTTTGATCGTATCCCTTCCATGGTCCTTGTTGAACCTTTCACTGATGCAGATGTTATCGTTCTAACTCTCTGTTGTGAAACCTATATGGGAATATTTCGACTACTATAATCATTTATTGGAAGGTACATAGATGTTTCCGAACTTTTCCTTCAACTGTGATGTATGTTAAGACATACTGATGCTACACTGGCCGTCTTCACCTGAACTTATTGGTTTGTGTAGAACAGAACAAAAACGCTCTGTTGAACACTGCTCCTTATCTTTATACAGTGACGTCTCAGTAGTTATTGCACTTGCTAAGATCTCCATTTTTTCTGGTACGGCCTATAATGATTTTGTTGAAGGCACATAGATTTGGGAATCTCTTACCCTATTCGTTCCTTTTTCCCAGTCCATGATGTCCCATGATGTCTTCGTATTCGACGTCGTTCATTCCAACCTTGGTGTTTAGGTCTGCCATCAAGATGTTCATATCCTTACCTGAACACTTCTGCGAAATAAACCGGATCTGCTCTTAAAATTGACGATTATCGTCCTCATTATGATCATTGATAAGTACTTAGCATCATTCTCCCGGTTTCCCATACTGTGTAAACATTCCATGCACCTATACTAATTGTTACTCTAGTTGTCAAAAGGGACATTAACCTCATCGCACTCAACGAAACTCGGTTTTCACCGAGAGTCATCATAACTCCTCTCATGAATCAGGACCCACAAAATCCCGGATCAGATATTAACTGGCTTAAGTAATTTATTTGGTTGGTGTATTTTTTAGCGAGTTGGTTTTCTGTCGGATGAGAGGGCTAACTCGATGCTCAACCCTCCGTCTTTATCCGGGATTAGGACTGGCAGGAACCCTAGATGGGTTCCAGGTAGAGTATTTCACCAGCTGAATGCTTGTAACAAGACACATCTTTCAATGATTAGAATGGAATGTGTATTCTCTGTTTGTAGTAAGTTTTGTTCGTTACAAATACTCTCAAAGAGTTTTAATATCATTAATCAATCTCCTAATTTCATCATTCCTCTGTTAAGCATGCAATTATATCAAGTGATCAAAAAAAAATTCTCATCAGAAAAGGTGATATACCACCAATACGTCGATTAGAAATGGATTGGAGACGTATTGGCGAATTTGATCCATTCCATGATGATGGTTATTTTACTTGTTTTGTACAAAATACAGAAACCAATGGGTCGAAAACTATTAAATTACCAACTGATAAAGTTCCTGTTCAATGTAAGTTTACAAAATGAGCTCTTTGGAAATTTGTATGATATTTTAGGGGCAGAGTTTTTGGAGGTTTGTGTTTTTATACATTTGAAATCATCAATCAATCATTGTTAGACTACTATTAGAAACCTGGAAGCACTGAAAGACGGCCGTTTCGTCCTGGTATGGGACTCATCAGTGGCAGTGCGCATCCACGACTCCTGCCCCTTGCAGGATTCGAACCCGGGACCTTCGGTATTGTGCGCGAACGCCTAACCATCGGACCACTGGGCCGGCATCCAACAGTGTTAATATATAACTATGATTGATCTGGGGATTTTGCGCGACCTCACCCATTTTTAGAGAACTGTCAAGCCAATCAAGTCAATGCATAAGTCCGTAATCACAATGAAATAGAGATAGCGCAACTACACATCTAGTAGGTAAAAGTACAAGTTGATAGTAGGACAAGAGGTCTGCTGACAGTAGTGTTAAGAATAATAAAATATGTGAACAAAAGATTTGCTCAGTCGTTAGCTTTGGAAATAGCGGTAGGTCTGTTAGGATAAGAGAATTATTGGTCAATTCCTATTGGTTAATTCCTACTGGTCAATTTTATGGTCGTCCTAGTTACCAATGTCACATACTCCAATGTTGTTTCTTATTGGTTGTTCTGACTATCAATGTCACAGACATCGATGAGGTTCCCTATTCGATCAAAATGTATGAATACGCATTATCTGTAACGTTTTATGACCAGGACCAGGACCCGGTCCCGGATCCCTAGTCTGGGATCTTGATTCTCTTCTGGATTCGGACCTCGTACTTTCTGGATGCTTGTAGAATACAGGTTCTACTTCATATCAAGTCTTGTCTTGTTATTTTTACTCAATATGGGGGTTGGGATAATCGGATTTGAGTAGCATGTCGTGTCGCCGGATCCTCGATCCTCGCTCTCGTTTTCCGACTAAGGTAAACTCGTAATAGTTCAAGCATATCAAGTTGACGTGTTTACGTGCAGGCATAACAAGGTCAAACGTGAACAGAAGGACTTAAAATAGGGATCAGTTACCTGAGTTGGCATTTGCTAATTCAGCTGCTCCTCTGGAGATAGCTATATGGGGTGCAATATCAGGCATCTTAGCCAACGAATGAGTGAACATCTCACACCACGGTCTATGGAAGGCCAAATAAAAACAATACGCAGTTCTATCTTGGCACATCTTATTGATAGCTGTTATAATGTAGAAAAATCTGAATCATTTAGAGTGATCTCTCTCGTACATGCCCATCATTTCCCAATGGAGTTCCAACCCGTCTTCTTCACACATAAAAGAAGTCATAGGAATTCGTACATTCAACTACAGTGTATGTACTGAGAAGAGATTTTTGATACCCTTGTCGCTTCCTTGGCCAAATGTAACTTGACAAACGATTTTTAAAAAATATAATATTTCATTTTTCGTGTCATTATTGGGCATTATTTTCACATCGTGTATTTGTTTGTCAATTTCCACCTCTTCCCATTTATATTCTTCACTATCTGATTATTTTTACACACTGCTTATTACGTAATGATTTTTAATATTTTGTGATGATTATTGATCCACGCTTGACCTACCACTACTCCCAATGATGAACTATTCAAAAAAAATCATCATGTTTAAACATGATTAACGTTTAGGTTGAAAAATTTCCCCCTTTTTCTAAAGATATTATCACTAGTTGAAAAGTTAACTTACAATGAAATGACGTCCGTCTATTTTTTAAATTATTATTAGGATTGAACTCAATATTTGTAACCGTTTGATAATCTTCACTGTATTACGCAACACAACTCCGTTTTCACCAACCTGCACTTGAATAAATTTGACTATCTTGAATAATTTTGAATGATTTTCGTAGTTGTAATCACGAACTGTTCTAAGCCAGATATCTGATATACTCGTCAATTGATATGCTTGAATGCAATCACGAGTTCACTTTACTCGGTGAACAAGAGTGAAGACAAATGATCCAGTGACACAATAAGCTCTTCTGACCCGACCCTGCTAACTATAAGAAGAAGTCTTGATATGGCGTAGAAAGTGTAGTCCACAAGCACCCAGAAAACATGAGGTTCACAAACACACAAATCGAGTTTCTTTTGTAAGATGATAGAAACGTCCTTGGGAGAGCCACAAAAATTACGTGCTAAAATAACAACATATCAACCAATGACAATGAGGGATTTTCCGAGTGCGAGATGTAATCTCAAGGTCAGCTGAGCAGCCCATGTGCGAAAACACGAAATTCGAAATTAAGATCTTTATCAAGTGCATTCTGGGGATCTGACTTCCTCAACAATATCACTATCAAAAACCTGGAAACATTGGACGGCTGTGACGTCTTAGGATGGAACTCATCAGCAGTATGCATCCATGATGCCCCTTAAGCAACAACTGAACCCAGGGTCTTCTGTTTCGCACGTGAATGCCTAACTTCTAGACCACTAAGTCAGCATTCACTTCACTAACTGTCTAAATCTCTATTTTAATATAGAAGGTCACATGAAGGGTTAAACATAAGTCCAATTGTCAGACTTCAGAAAATGATGACGTTGAAGAGACATTTCCTTCTAATATCACGTCTTCTTTCTTTCTTCATGCATCAATAAGATTCGTTTAGTATTTTTCAAACTAATTTCTTCAAAGCAACTTGAAAAATGTTGATTTCCCTGCATCATTACAAATTAAATTTCAGTGTGTATCACTCCAATGATCATAGTTCTCAGTTTGAGTTTTTACTCATGCTTCCACAATACGATTACTTACTTACGCCTGTTATCCCCAATAGAACGTAGGCCGCCAACCAGTTTTCTCCAACCAACTCTGTCCTAGGCTTCCCTTTCCAATTCTGTCCAATTTTTGTTCATTCTTCTCATATCTTTCTCTATTTCACGGCGTAATTTGTTCCTTGGTCTTCTCTTTTCCCTTTGCATTGAGGGTTCCATGTGAGGGCTTGTCTTGTGACGCAGTTTGGTGCTTTTCGTAATGTGTGTCCTATCCACTTCCACCGCTTCTTCCCGATTTCCAACTCCACTGGAATCTGTTTTGTTCTCTCCCACAATAGGTTGTTGCTGATGGTGTCTGACCAACGAATATGCTTCCACAAACCACTGATAATAATAATGACAATAATAATTTTGACAATGGATTGATTGATTGAGTGATGAACACAACTTTAAACACTATTTACACAACTGGACGCTGTCTCAGTGATCCAGAGATTAGGCTTTCTTATGCAGTATCGAAGATCCTAGGTTCGAATCCTGTGAGGAGCTGTAGTCGTGGATGGCCACTGCCGATGAAATCCATACCAGGACGAAACGGCCGTCTAGTGCTTCCAGGAATTTGTTAGCGGTCTAACAGCATAAACAGTAGATAACCTATAAAATCTAGTGTTTATATATGACAATAACTATGAAACATAGTATGAAAATGATCTCTTTTCTCTTTTATCACTCTGTAGTACCGGAGGATCCATTTACTCGATTGTATATTTATTCACCGGATACTTATGTTGTGCCGGAACTTGATGGCAGCGCGAAAGTAATGATTCCTGAAGGGGAAAAACTACGTGTAAGTCTATGAATAGTTTGTATTATTAAGCCATTAGACTGAAATAATATGACAAACATTGGTATTCTGTTTGTGTTGATTGATTGATCTTCGTCTAAATTGAAAATTTATTTGTTAATGTAATGTTTCATCATATGATTGTGGAGATTGTTTAGTTTTCTTCGACATCATGAATCGACCATTGGAAACCTGAAAGCACTGGATGGTCGTTTCATCCTCGTGTGTGACTCACCAGCAGTGCACCTCTACAACTCCCACCACTCACAGGAATCGAACCCTTGACTTTTGGTCTCGTGGTCTAATATTGATTGACTCATGATTCCGAAAGTACCTCAACAATCTGTGAAACCTGTAAAACAAATTATCATATACTCACTAGTGAGGAAGTTTCTCCGAGTTCCAATGCGAAATCGTGACCAGTGGGTTTCAACCTTGTTCGAGAGTGAAGCAATGCTCACTGAAGACAGTGAATGTAGTTGCGCAAGACCGAAGATTGGTCGAATTTAGACATGAACACCACTGGATGCCACTGGCTCAGTGGTCCAGAGGTTAAGGGTTCTCGCGCACACGAGTAGTGGGAGTCGTGAATGCGCACTACCACTGATGAGCCCCATACCAGGACGAAGCTGCCATCCAGTGCTTCCAGGTCGATTCATGATTTCAAAACACAAAGTTTCATCAAAATATTTTCTTATTAGAAAGTGATATGTTTGGAAGATGTAGATTTTGACATTCTAAGCTATTATCTAATAGATATTTCCTTAAGATACTCTTGCAAGATGATGCATACATTTTTCAGAGATTTTCAACAACAAAGAGTTGGTTAACGATGGTTTTTCC